TTGGCTCTAACATCAGTAGTTCATTTAATAAATTAACATTTTCGAGTGATTCTTTATCAACTTTGTTTTCAATTTCCGAGCCATTTACTTTTTCGCCTGACTGTTGGCTGTTTTGTACGCATTCATTTGCAGCGTTAATTATATTAGTAAGTGCTTTTTCATACTTATTTTTCCAACCCTCACTCAGTTTTTCGATATTTTTATCTATTTTACATTCATTTCTACTTTCTAATTTACGCTCATTTGAATTACACTCATCTGACATATTTCTAACCTTTGTAGCATTTTTTTTACATTCATTTGTACTTTCTTCGTATTTGTTCGCTTCACACTCATTTGCCTTAAACTTTACTCCTACTACTTCATAATTATTTTCAGTCATATCTTTACAATATTCAATATTTGAATTCTCAGAACTTACATCGCTTAGACATTTTATAAGTCTTCTATCAATTCCTGATGCAATGCAATTATTTCTTCCATCCAAAGCGGTTTTATTGGAAACGCATTTCTGTTCTTCTTCCTCTCTTACTAATCTGTACTTACATTCTCTAAGGAAATCTCTTCCTAGAACAGCCTCATAGGTCATTGTCCCATCAGCAACAACAATAAAGTTAATATCAAAATGTTTATCGTTTATTATAATCGAACACAAAAATTTTCCATAGGTTTGCACTTTTGACTTATTTAGACCAAAATATAAGTCATTTTCATTTTTCAGTAACTTTAAATCTAACTGATTGCATACTGCTGATCTTCGGATAAAGCTGATTGGGCTTCCAGAATCTATGAGACATTCTAAGGAAAAATATATATAACCTTGGTTCTTAATAACAAACATAAAAGATCTTACGTATTCGCTATCATCTACCAGCTGGACTCGGTTTTTGCGATCTGGGCACACTGCAACTCGATGTTCCATGCTGCCACAGGCATAGCATGCCCGTTTCTCCCTCTTTGGCTTCTTACACTCGGAGGCGAAGTGACCAACACAGTTGCAGTTATAACACCGTTTCGTGTAACTCATCTGTGTTGCTGTAGCTGCTGCAGTTCCCCTCGACGCCACTCTCGATGCATTCTGCTTCAAACTTATTTTGGAGAATGCTTGTAGTAGCTGAGACTTTGAGGCGTAACACTGCAAATAAGCTTGGTTGCGTAGCTGGTCATCGGTTATTCCCTCAATTAAGTAGTCTAGTAACTCATCATCTTCGTAGTGCAATGAATTTGACAGCGATATCTTGTCATTGTAATATTGCGCGAAGCTTTCACCGGCTCTCCACATCCTTGCCTAGAATTTATGACGCAGCAGCAATTTGCTTTCCTTTGCACCAAACACTTCTTTCATTTCCGCAAGTAAACATTCCAACTCTTCCGTCGCAAAGTGTGGTTTAGAGTGTATCCACTGTAATGCCTTTCCCTTTAGTTTGTTAAGTAGCAAGACACGTTGAATTGTGACGTCAACTGCATACGCATCGCATACACTTTTGAATTGAGTTAACCAGATGTCAACACTTGATTGCCCATCATATTCAGGCACTATATTCAAAATTATATCAATGGGAATTTGCCCTGAACGAAGTGGTGCTGTTTCGTTGACGCTCACTGTATTCACGTTAAGTTCTGCAAGACGTCGCAGAATTTGTATCTCCTTCTCCAACACCTGCTTTTCTCGCACTGCCAATTCTTGCTTCATTCGTTGTATTTGCTGTATTGTGTTTTCATCACAGTCGTCATTGTCAACATCACCGTCGCCGCCACATGCGCTGCCATCGCATTCATTGTTGTTATTGTTTTTTCCTTGTAAAGTAGGGGTGACTTCTGCATTTTTTCCCGACGCCACGATTTCAAAACTTTCATCAGCTTCCAACGGACACCGGCCACGCTCGGCTACTGGAACTTCGTTTAACCGAATGACCAACGCATTTTTTGCGCCGCTTGTTGGCAAATTTAACTGCTGAAGCCAAGCGCGCAACTGCACAGCCGTATATTCATTAGCACAAATTGATTCCATTTTGCCTTATTTACTGAATGTTAATATGTCTGCTGTTATACACTCTTTTGTCTATCTCGTTCCTATTTGTATTGTTTTAACACTCTTTTGTCTTTGCCACTCGTTTGCCGAACTATTTTTTATTTATGAACTTTCCACTTTGCTCGCACTGTTTTTCTTTCAAATTACTTTTGCACGATTGGCTTTGCTTACTCGTATTTTTTTTCTGTTTCTTTTGGTTTTGGCTGTCTTTCGCCGTGCCGCTTTCGTAAGCCTACCACTTCACTTAACTTTTATTCACAACGTTTTTATAGTTAGTTTTATTTATGCGAAAATATGTATGTCCTTGAAATCTTAAAGAAAAAAAAATCAGTATTTTACCGGCACACACGTTCAGGAAAGGGAATTCGACCCCACTTCTGAGACTGTAAACGCAAATAAAATAGACACGTCCGATAGGTTTGATCGCCAAATTTATTATGAATCTTCTTGACTGTACAAATATGTGCTTAAGCTAAAAGGCTGATGCAATCTATGGAAGGTTGGAAGGGACGCTACCGAATAGAAAAGGGGAAATAGAAACTTCTAGACTATAACTGGAAATGACGCTTACTGACTAGGGGGAAATATATACACAGAATATTATGTGCTATTTACATACATATGTGTTTGTGGTTGCTATATATACTACGTTTACATATTTACATATATACATGTATAGGAGTGCAGCTATGCTGCTACAATTCGGCCATCCTGATCAATGAGATCTCCTGATCTCTTCTGCTATCATTCGTGCACCCATTGAACCATGGCCGTATGTTCCCTACTGCCCACATGCCCCTGTAAGGTATTCTCGACTGTTGGAAACCCTCTACATCTTCTAGCATATAACGGTCATTGCGTAATACTTTAACTACTTTGTAGGGACCTTTAAATTTTGGAATCAGCTTCTTTGACGTGCCTGTATTTGAATCAAAGTTTTTGACAACAACATAATCTCCGTCTTTGTATACGTGTGGGCTCTGCCTCTTTTTATTTACATAATTTTTGTTATATTCTTGTAGCCTTTCCTCATTTTTAGCTGCCTTTTCTCTTATCTCAACATGACTTTTTA